CCATTTCAAGGCTGAGTGGCGCGGTACCACGAGAAATTGATGTTTCGAAGTTCGGAGGGTGATATAAGGGGAGGAAAATGTGAAAATGTGAATTTTCGAATTTCTCGAAATGTGCGTTTGTTTGTTCATTAACGTGCTAGGTGAAGTAACTACCGTCGCACTCCTACTGGAGCTTGAGCACGAGTGGGGTCGGGCCGGATCAGGTTAACTACCGTAAAGTACAAGTGCCTCGTCCCACCTCAATGACCGGAACCATGCCGAAACGCATCTATGTGTTGAAGCATGACGAGTACAGCAGCCCAGAGTTGAAAACAAAACAAAAGAAAACTTCCACGCAAAGTCCTGCATTACAAAAGAAAAAAAAATTTTGACAATCTCCCTTCCATCGTTCCGCCTCGGCCACCACGCGCCCGAGCCTCGATTCCTATCCCTACTTCCATGCCAGATCACCTGGGCTTTCGTTCATCACCTCCGAGTCACAGGTATCCCTGCCATCCCCCGGCTAGCCTCCGCGTATATTCCGCTCTCCTGGACATAGTCCCTGAACAGTTGCCACCCGCTTGATCCGAGCATTGTTCCTATAGCTGGCGCCCTTCGCCTTCCGCTTTTCAGCCGCCATGTTGCCAGTGCTTTTCGACACTGAACAAGGTGAACGATTGATTTTTCTCTCCCACACTCGCAGTGAAGTGTAGCGTCAGTGTGGCTGAAGCGGCGATGATAAGCCGCGAAGTCCCCATGTCCGGTTCGAGCGGCTATTAAGCGAGCGTAGACTGCCCTTGGTAGTGCTAGTTCTGGCGGTTTCTTGCGTACTGGCCATGTGTCTCGTCGCCAGATGTAACATTTGCATGACTTCAACATCGTGATACTATATTTAAAGTTAGGGTAATCTGTGTGACAACAGTTGTGACCCGTAGAGTTAAATCTCCTCTCCTACGAAATCTTTAGAATAGCCATTTTAGGGCTTGACCCTCAAATCTATGAGAGCTAGATTTGGCAATTTTAAATTTACGAAATGTAACTAGAGTCCTTAGATTCCCATTCTCCTCCATGATCTTAACCTCAGAAGGGACTATGATACAAATCTAACCTAATTTGGAATGGCCAATCAAAGTGCCTAGTATAACTGATAGAAAGATAATGGGCCCATGCTTGATGATAGATAAGAACCGTCATCTACATTCGCACATCCCCGCACAGTTTCATATGTCTAGTGGCCAAACTAGGCTGAGCTAGCCGGTTTGATGGGCAGGCAATGCTTATGACATCTCACTCCACCTGAGATTGTCCAGAAGGGGAGATGAGCTTTAAAGTGGAATCCTTTCGCTGCTTTTGCGCGCTAAGGAAGGCACCATGTACCCTTGCATAGCTCTCTTTCCTATACTAGAATTCCTTCGGCCTTTAGATCATTAAGAATCTCCGAAATGTAGAACAAAAGATACGGCGGTATATTAACTTGGCTTTATCCGAATGATGACTCTTAATCGCCGCTTAATGTCGACTCGTACTAAAGGCCGCACATGGCTCGGTTTGCTAGTGTGAAAGTCGAAGGAGCGCAACGATGCTTGCGATGCACAATGCCTGAGACTTCAAACAGTTCGTAAGCTGTAAAGACTCGGCGAAAAATATTATCAACGTCATTATATGCCACTAGTCTATCCATGTGGTTTATCAGTACGGATATGGATCGTCTCCCTCAGTCTTTGGGGAGTATAGGGCGGTGATTGGACTCCGGTTAGCGATGCTCTCAATGTAGAATGAATTGGGACATAATCCAGCAGCCAAGATTCAGCCCTTCCATATTAGTAGATCCGGGAAGCTTGACGATGAACTTCAGATAGGAGCTGTGCTAGTGCATCTCGCTTGAAACTCCGTACGGCAGAGATCTAAAGAGCGACCAAACAAATCAAAAAGAACACCACCTTGGCCACGATCAAGTCGGACTCATGTTTCTCTGAGCACAAAAACTTCTGCTTTTTACCAAGATTATCCTCTACTTCATCTCGATCAAATCGTTTCATGGATAGAACATGACTTGCAACTCTTTTTCCAATGACAAGCCCAACAAACCATAGTAATCAAACTAGGCAGATTTTGGATGATGGAAATGAAGTAGATCTTCCGGAACGTGCACTGAAGATAATTCTCCTGGCTAGCTATGACGCGATGTCCAATAAATGATACAAAGCCACTAGTATCGGGAAGGAAAGATGCTGAGCCACGGAAGCTGTCAAGAAGATAAGTTGTGGGGTCAAAAATAACTGGGAGGATACCATTAAGGAGAATGACAGGGAGTGTCGCTGCCTCCAACTCTAATCTTACTTGCTGGGCACCAAGCATCTGCGGGCCCGTTTGGTATTCTCGAGCATCTTTGGGTGCGCAAGCACGTCGTGTAGCCTAAATCGATCGAGCTAACAAATACGTATTCTATGACGTTTTGCCGTGCATCAACACAATCTTGATTTCATGATAGCCCAAAGGCTTTGGGGAGCGGATGCTGTGTTTGTATGTTTTATTTTTTAATTCTGAATTTCCCTTCTCGGCCTTCGACTTTATAGGGCTTCTATATGCTCGGTACTTACTGGTCAAGGATATTTATGTTTTGGATAGTAAATCCTCTTCTTCCTCCTTTGCAACCCCCATCCAACTACAGCATCCCTCAAAATTCTACATTTAATAGTACACTTACAGGAGCCCCGAGCTTAGATTACCCCCTAGACGAGTTAAATGATAGTCTTTTGCGGATTCGCTCCTGTGGGGGCAAATCTCTAAATACTACTGACCACAGGGTGCCGTAAATGTGGAATAATACCACATAGTCATCATGGGGAAATGAGCCCTCATTCAAAATCAAAGATGTAAACCCAGGCTCCACCCGAGACGGAATCGATGTCGGGGGCCACGTGCTAAGATATCAGTATGAATCAGATCAATAGTCCGCCCAAGGCCATGATCTTAAGAGATAACCATATACTTCATCTAAATACGCCCTTGAAATTTCTACCACTGCACTAACACACGAAGAAAAGCTAGGTTTAACCCAGAATTTCTACATGAGGCATTTAACACTCTCGGGCCCAGTAGCATGGGAGGTAATCGCCGGTAATTTGTGGTCATCACATCATTTGAAGCCGCCGTCTATCTACGCCAGCTTGAAGGTAGAGAATGCTGGAGGGGGGAGCATGTTCGGCTTTTTATTTGAGCGGCTATTCGCGGTTGAGGAGAGAGTGACGTACCTCGACAGTTTGGTCAGGCAGTGGTGTTACCCACGTTGGGCCAGTACATGAAGTGGTCGCTTATGTATGAATACTCCTCCACGTTAGGTAATATGCCGAGGAGTGACCTCCACTCGGGATGAGCCCAACTCTACCGAGAAGCCGACGATATTTATTTCCGGACACGAATAAAAATCTCGTCACTGTCATCACCATCTTTATCCGGGTATCAATCAGACGAGGTCAACTGACCTACTACCGTCAATTAGCGATACTGCAGCTCTCAGGGATTTCCGATCTAGACCGCTAGAGAGTTATCACTCTATCATGGAAATATCGTCACACGGGAGCTGCTCAGGACCGGCCTTGGCCGTCACCTGTACAACTCTCGTCATCAATGTATGTATCCCTGACACCCTATTACCTACAGTGAAAACGATGATGAAATATTAGTCCGAGCCAAAACCATATTAGATCATGTACTGCGGTGTAAGACCTGAACCTCTTTGAAATCGCCGTGTTTAATAAGCATCCTAAGAATAAATTAAAAACTTTTGATATCTGAGTCGCCCAGCCCTGGACCTATTTGCCAAATCCATTACCAAGGATGTTTATGTTTACACAACACATGTAACTATCTTTTCTGCATATCCGCTAGAGGAAAACTTCATATATTTGGTCGCCTGAACGTGGTTTCGTCGTACTGTTTCCGAAGACTGAGTGAAATCTATCAGTATATTACTGGACTCGCATCAGCGATATTCTACCTTGCGTGGGATACATCCCCGGGCAGGTTACTGGATGCTTATAAGAGTAGCCCTAAAGTTGTACCCCGCAACGAATGACTGGAAAAATCCACAATCCATATATCATGTACTTATTCTATGCTCAATTCATTCTGAAGAATTCCACTTCTGACTCGCAGAGCAATTCAGCGTTTTGATGGGAATAGTTAGTGATAAGAATAGAATTGAACATAGTGTGCTCGTTTATTTTTTGATACAAGGTGTACACATAACAAGCTATTCTCTAAATTCTGTCCCTCAACCCCGACTATCTCCAGAAAACTATTCAAAATATTGTAAAATTATAATTCCAGGAATCAAGACTTATTTCCAATCAGTTAACTAGACCGATCGACTAAACTAGAGCCAGTCAAAGTTCATTCGGAGTCTGCTTGTATATTACACGGTCCTTTCCATTCCTGAATAGACGCATATCATCAGATCTCTTTCATAATACATAATATCCACAAACTTGCAAACCAGCTATTGATTAGCCAGCTCATAGTAATGCTCGAACTTAGCCATCAATAAAGTTTATACCCGAGGCGCAGCCTAATTTAGAGCGTTTTAAGCGACTTAAACAGTCATTTCATGAACTTTCGATAGACTCCAAGAAAGATTGACCCTCGCTCGACTAATGAGCACGGTAATATTTCGCAGTCTCTCATTTTATCTCAAGGTGAATACTCGAGAAATTAATCTTTGTTTTAATGTATCCGTGACTGATATGAAATAAATAATATTCGATCAAAGTTAGAGATGTTTCCGCGGGACAATGAAACCAGTTAGCTGTAATTGTGACAACAATTCAATAAGGCTGATGTTTGGCTCTAAATTAGTTTGGTAATTATATTATCAGAATCTTATCAGAGTCTTTGCCCAGTGGGCTTATTCTTATAAACTGAGTAATTTTTATGCAAGACCTATATATCTCTTGGCTTTTTGATACGCTCATATTTTAAGCTGTGTAATTTAAATATAGAAGCTTTCGTATTGTTTTATTCTAACTGTTCCCTATACCTTTCAAATCGCGAGGCTTCGATATGGGGCGAGAGCGATGACTTTTTTCGTTGCCTACTGAGGCAGGGGGAACGTCTTTGACATTTTTGGTACTAGAAATTTTAGAAGCCTCTTCTTTTGAAATTACCCGAACTTCTCGTTCCTTTTCTAAGAGTGCTCCACCTAGAGTGGCACATTTTAAGATTGTCTGGATCAAATGGTTTTGCTTCAAAGGTTTCGAAAGGTATTCGTCCATCTGCGCCTGAATACACTTTTCCCTATCACCCAACATAGCATGGGCAGTAAGGGCGATGATAGGTGTTCTTTGGGTTCCTAGATTGCGTTCGTATTCTCTTATCTTTCCTGTGGCCTCGAACCCACCCTATTTTGCGATTAGCGAATAATAATTTCCAGAATAAACTAATGAACTTACCATAACTGGCATCTGTACGTCCATGAGTATTACATCATATCGTTTGGCTCGGATTGCATCAAATGCTTCCTGTCCATTCCCTACAACTGTGACGATGTGATGATATTTTTCCAAGATTTTTACCGCTAACCGTTGGTTCACTATATTATCTTCAGCTAATAATATGTCGAAAGACTTTGTGTTATCTGTTAATGAGGGTGCAGCTCTATTCTCCAACGCTGGGATCATTCCGTTTCCTAGATCGATTGTAAGACATGGAGTAGTCATGTATGATGTAATACCAAGGTCTAGAGCTGATTTTAGACTGACATGAACGACTGGAGCCAAGAGAACAATTGGATAATACTTAAATTCGTCGATAGAACGTAATTTTCGAGCTGTTTCGATTGAGTCAACAATTATGACGTCATACATAGACGCTAGCATTATGCTGTCTTCACACAAGTTGAGATTATTCTCTGAATCGACTATTGTTGGGACGAGGCCAATTTGCTTCAGCATACCGACAATTTCTTTACCATGTCCTGTTTGCCCCTTATCAATGAAAAGAACGTTATGTGACTGATAAGGTTTAAGTTGTTTTTCAATAAAGCTGATATCTGAAGTAGCGAGGCGGACAGTGCAGGTGAAAAAGAACGTGCTGCCCTTTCCATATTCACTCATTACCCAGACATCTCCTCCCATAAGATTGACAAGCCTTTTGGATATCGAGAGACCAAGGCCCGTTCCACCAAATTTCCGTGTCATGGAACCGTCGGCTTGCTGAAATGTATCAAATATCAGACCTAATTTGTCTGCTTCGATGCCAATTCCAGTGTCAGAAACTGAAAATTCGATGGCATACTCATTTGATGAGCATTGATCTTGCTTAGCTTTGCGAATAGTCAAAGAAACTTCCCCATGTTCGGTAAATTTGATAGCATTGCCAACCAAATTAAGAATTACTTGCCGCAAACGGAAAGAATCGCCAACAACGTGGTCAGGAACTGAACTGTCGACTCGATAAGTCAGATCGAGAAATTTCTCGTTAGCCTTCACCGCCATTGTCTTCAGTGCATTAAAAACAGTTCCTCGAAGGGTGTATGGAATCTCCTCCATTACCATTCTATTGGCTTCGATCTTTGATAAGTCGAGTATATCATCGATGATCGTCAAAAGGCTGTTGGCCAAGTTATGAACGATATTAAGCATCTCGCGTTGATACTGCGTAAGGTCTGTGTCAAGTGTGAGCTGAGTCATACCAATTATACCATTCATTCTAAGAGAATTTGTGAGCATTTGTTTTGAGTTTATTAGATAATTCAGGAGCTTACGGGGTTCTGATCTCATGACTCATATTTGCTAAAAACTCCGACTTAGTTCTATTGGCAAATTCAGCGGCTTCCCTAGCAGCTGTGTTACGCTGTATTGAATCTCTCAAATTAAAAACCATTTTGTTAATTTTTCGCTTCAGTTCATCCATCTCTCCTGAAGCTTCGACGGTTATTAGTTTTGTAAAGTCTCCGTCCGTAGCTGCATTAGTTATATCTCCAAATGCACGGACTTGGGCCGTCAAGTTCTGAGCCATTGTGTTGACGTCTGAATAGTGTTAGCACTCAGATCCGTAAAGTATTGTATGGGATTTAGTCTCCTTACCAGTTGTAATCTCTTTCCAACGACCGCCAATCCCCGCAACATCTGCTTGACCACCCATTTTACCATCAACTCCGACATCTTTAGCCACACGTTGAACTTCATTAGAAAAAATACTCAACCTATCAACCATGTTGTTGATCGTTTCTTTCAAGACCAGAATCTCTCCTGCCGCTTCAACCTCGATTTTTTGGCTCATCACACCATTTGCAATAGCCTGCGTGACGGTTGAAATTCCTCTAACCTGAGAGGTTAAATTACTCGCCATGGTGTTAACATTTTCAGTTAAATCTTTCCACTTTCCTTCAACATTATCAACCTGTGCCTGACCACCTAATGTGCCATCTGTGCCGACTTCTCGGGCCACCTTGCTGACCTCAAAAGCAAAGGTTCCGAGTCTATCAACCATTGTGTTAATGGTATCCTTTAGTGAAGCAATCTCCCCTTGTACCTCGACCCCAATTTTTTTAGTCAAGTCACCTTTGGCTACCGCAGTTGTGACCTTGGCAATCTCTCGTACTTGGGTAGTAAGGTTCATGGCCATTCCGTTAACATTTTCCGTCAGATCTCTCCACGTACCCTCAACATCGTGCACAGTTGCTTGGCCACCGAGTTTACCTTCAGTTCCGACCTCCCTGGCTATTTTCGTAACTTCACGGGCAAATTGCTGAAGTTGGTCAACCATAGAGTTGATGGTCTCTTTCAGCTGCATTATTTCGCCTTTGCACTCAGCTTTAACTTTCTGCGTAAGGTCTCCTTTTGCAACAGCGGTGGTGACCATGGCAATATCTCGGACCTGTGTTGTCAAATTGTTGGCCATAGCATTAACGTTGACTGTTAATGTGTTCCACATGCCTTTCACACCTTCAATCTCAGCCTGTCCTCCAAGTATTCCCTCTGTACCTACGTCTCTTGCCACGCGGGTTACCTCGGCCGCAAACGTTCGTAGCTGGTCAACCATGGTGTTTATGGTCTGCTGAAGTTGTAGAATCTCGCCTTGCGCAGGCCTCTCAATTTTTTGAGTCAAATCTCCATGTGCAACGGCTGTAGTGACTGAGGCAATTTCCCGTACCTGGTCAGTTAAGTTTTGGGCCATTATGTTGACTAAGTAGATCATAATTAGCTACTCATGAAGATGAGTTTTGATATAAATTTTCTCTCAAGAAGCCTGCCTGGTTATACAACGCACCATTATCTGTTAACTCTTTCCATGTACCATCAACTCCAGATATTTGAGCTTGACCTCCGAGTATTCCTTCTGTTCCAACCTCTCTAGCAACCCGTGAGACTTCACTAGAAAATATTTGAAGCTGGTCCATCATAGTATTGATAACCTATGAGTATTAGCAAACTTTATTATTTTGAAAATATCTAGTAGAAGCTTACTCTTTTGAAAGTAGTTATCTCCGGATCCATTTCTACCGAGTGAATTTGGACTTTCTTGCTCAGATCGCCTTTGGCGACAGCTGTTATTATCTCTCCTATTTCCCGTAAAGCTTTTTGAAAAGCTTCATTTGCCTGCTGATGTTTTTTGAGCTCTCGCTCAAGGGATGCCACTCGTTTTGCCTCATACTGATTAATCAAATGTTGCTGGTGTTCTGCCTGCTGAATCATTTGAGCTTCAATTTCCTGCTGTCTCGATTTCCCTTCTTTAATTTGCTCTGCTTGGTCGGCGATTTCTTTTTGCAGTGTTTCAATCAATTCATCATTTGCGAGCTTTAGAAGCTTGGGCGATCGTCCTTCAATACTTGAGCTTCCATTGACAAATTTTGAGTTAATATAGTGTTGCCTTGAATCTATCGCTTTGGTAGAACGAGTGAAGCCACCAGTTAGAACATCGGCAAAAGCAGATGGGGTTGCGCTCTCGCTCGGCGTCGCAGGGAGTATATTTTTGAAAGCATACGCCTTAGACTCGAGGTCCTGTACCCGCAAGATAAGAGCAGTGATTTCATTTTCGAGAGTAAGTTTTGCCGGTGTATTTGCGCCAGGAATTTTAACCTCCAGAAATCGTGGGTTTCGCAATGTCCCTAAATTTTGCAGAATCGAAGCAGCAGCCGCAAGTGTTGAGTCGTCAGCCATATTCAAATGATGTAGCTAAGCTACCCGAAATGAAGGGTGCCCGCAATATTCTCAGCCGGAGAGCATGAAGATTCTAATGTTCTATAAGCAAGTTGCCAATTTGAGCTGGGTTCCGAGAGTATTAGTTTGCTGCTAAAGATCCAGTTCGAGCCGTCGTATGGGCGATGTAGAAGAAAGTTTAGAACTGGAAAGCTCTTATCCATTAACTAACGCTGCGCTCTATAACGATGAAAGTGGCAATTACTTCACTGGCCCACAACCAGGTTGGAATGACCAGCAAGGGCTAGGTAACAAGGCTACCCCTGATTCCCCGAAATATAAAACCCTCTTGCTGACGGGGTGTAGTAACCAGCATTGACAATTGCGGCTTTATCGCAAAAAAGTTTGCGAGCGATACTCGAAGTTCGATGAGTGACGTGATCACAATCAGCTACCTCCCCTAAGATCGTCCAGATCGTCGACGGGGGGGCTTAGACATTTGTCCGACGGGGGGGCACTAACATGTAGTTTTAGTTTTCTCGATAGGGACTAGAGATGCGGGGAGGGTGGCGACGTTGCAATGGTGTGGGACCGAGTTTAAATTGAGGCGGTCGGCAAGTTAGGACGGACTAATTGTGGGGTCCTTTGAACATAAGGAATGAGCCCCCCCGATATCTCGATTGATGGGTGAAAATATCTATAATTGGAATCTTTGAGGTCATGTTATCACTATCACCAGCTTTGTACGTGTCATTTATGATGTAAGAATGTAGCATCTAATTATTTTGAAATACAAATATGTTGTTGGTATATACCACCGCGTTGCCGATTGCTACAGTTAATTTTGATGCACATTTTTAGTGGCAACATATCATCGCCTCATCCAGTCCTGAGCGTAGCCCAGGAACAAAGTCTTCATTGTTCCACGACGAAAGTTGCTATGGATGTCAAAGAGTGGTACCACATTTTCATACAAATGGTTAGGATTACTAGAAATTCTGCATAAACAATCTTCTTGAATTCAACCACGCGTGTATTATTTCATTTTATTGTCCTTTCTGAGTCTATGACTATGTAGGACATGTAGGTCACCCAACGAGTGTTAAACGAGTGAAATAATCTATTGTGAGGATTAGTCTTAGGAACTCGAATTGGGCCATTAAAGTCACGGCTGGAGTATAATGTACATTCATGGTATCTGTATGCGACGCCGTTTCAAACCAATTTTCCCATTAAAATAATTCGTTTCATCAGTACCTGCTAGATCCCAACCCTTCCGATTCTCCAACACCATCGTAGTGCAAACTTTTACTACATTGATGCATTACCTACGTTGCACGTTACCTACACTATATTTGTTCACGCTGCTAGCAGCAAGACTCTGTTTCACAATCATTTCTGCAGCTGCAGCTGCGGCTAGTCTTTCCTTCTGTCTACTTCTATCCCTCAGATAATGAGCCGCTTCTGGTCTCATTCTTAATATCCTAAGGATCATATCGTCGCTAGGATCTGCCTGTGCTTCTTTTCTCTTTTCTTCCTTGGCTTTCTTCATAGTACCTAGATTTCGGCTCATCATTATACTCTTCGTCCTTCGAACCGAAGAGGCGCCTAATAGTCCACCAAATGATGCGCCAAAACTCGGCGGCGCAGATAATCGATTGCGATGTTGATTTGCACGTTGAGCTGATGCTGTTGCCATACGTTCAGATATGCGTATCAGATTATCTGTCGTATCAAAATAGAAAAAGTTCAATGAAGCCAGTTCATGGTATTTGGGTGACTTAAGCACATTCGCTGGGACTCCCATAGCCTCACCAGTACTATCGTCCCGGGCATGAAAAAATTCAAAAAGAAGCTCAAGCCATTTAAAAACTATATCCATTTCTTGTTGCGTAAGCGGCTTTTGTGATGAAGGCTTGTCAGAAAGTGGAGGGACTAATAGGCTCTCGAGCGCTAAAAGAACTTCCTTCCATAGCCTGTTCATTACCATAACCATAGACGCTTCAGTCAAGGTTTCTTTCATGATTGCAAAATTTTCATCAAAGTATGTGAAGAGCGGTTTCAGTGCATTCTCGATGTCAATTTGTGTCAGCGGTGGGGTCACAGCTTGCCGATTCTTCCATAAATTTGTCACAGCGGCTATGGAGAGACCTCGGGATAGTAGTTGCTGAAGAGCTTCTTGCGAGAGGCAAGCACTAATATATTGCGAAAGCTGTGTATAAAGTCAGTGGATGTAAGTACTGTAATAAGATAGTCAACTTGCTTTATCGGTAATCATGCGCGTCATGTCTCTTTCAGTTCTCTTTAGAAGGCGAAATGATTTTCCCAAGAAAAATTGAATATCATCTCTTTCACCTTCCATGCTGACGCGGAGAAGCATTCTTCCCTGTGTATCGAGATTAAGCCAATATTCTCGTGGTAAGTAGTCACTGAAGTGAATTGGATCAAGTTTTAAGGAGGTTCTTCCCAAATAATCATGATCGCCAAAAGCGTCCCAATCCCAAATAGTTGCAATTATATTGAGAGCCCCTTGAACTGTGATATCAATTGATTCGTCCCACCGTGGATTCAATGTTTTTCTTATCACTCTTGTCTTTGCTAATCGCTTTTGGAATTCATCCCCCAGTACTAAATAAGGATCGCTAGTTCCACTTGCATCGCAGGCTTTAATATCTTCTGCTTCTACAATCTTGATAGTAAATACATATTTTGATGGTTTTATTTGCTTATCCCTTGAAAGTGATGCTTTGGCAAGGACATCCGCACATGCGTCAACATTCATTGTTTTCTGAAGGATTTCTAGCTGCTCTACTGCGAATTCGATATTGTTCAACTTGACGAATGACTGGGTATTTCAATTATTAAGACTGACTGTAGGCATAGATGGGAGACTTACCTCTGGATAAAATTGAAATGGCTCAATTTTCTCTTTGTTATTCCAAGCATCTTTTGCAATTTGCATCCATTTTTCTTGTTTGGTCTGTAGAACAACTGCTTCTTGGGCTGGTGATAGTCTATCCATTTCCTTGCTGAACATTTGCTCTAACCTTTCACAATATCTTGCGAGACCAATACCAAACGATTTTGAAAGAGCTGTCATAAACTTCGCATACTGAAGATCATTATCCCAGTTGAGTTGAAATATTTGATTAGCAGTTTCATTGAAAAGTCTAAATATATCGACAATAGAGACACTATGCCGTTCGTCGTCAGTAGCAAGATGGCTAGGATCTTGCAAGCGAACTTCGAATTTATCTTGCTTGATTGCTTGGTCGACTAACTCTATCATATTAGAATCAGTGACACGGATCCAGCGCCAAACAAAATCAGCAAGTAGCTCTTCAATATTGAAGGCAAAAGGTTGGTCTGGAAGGGCATTGCGGTGGATTTGTCGAATTTCAACCAGCTCTTTATATAGAGCGAAGCCATCTTCCAAATCAACCTCCATTTTTTTATCTTGTGCTACAAATAAAATCCGTTGTATTATATCGCCGGCGTCATTTTCAAAACTGGGGAACATGGTTTCCACGAGAATTGTGAGAGGGTTTACACCCATTATTTCTGGATTTTTACGGTAGCGTTTCTGTATACGCTCGCATGCTTTTACGACTGATTTCCCTAATAGGACAACATGGCAAAATTGCCAATCTTCTTGATGCTGTGGTACTTCAGCTTCTAGGTATCCCCGATAGACTGCCGCAGCTTTACCACGCAGACCGTCTTCTAGCTGGATCTTAAAGGCTTCCATGTCTTCTGAGCTTACTGAAAAAGAAGTATCTCCATGTATGTGATTTTCTAAAATCAGTAGTACTGGGCCTGGAGATGGACATTTAGAGTCATAGCAATGTTGTAACAAATCGTAGAGGTCTCTTAGAAGCCCATCATTTAGGCTAGATAGAATTTGACGATATAGTGCAAAGTCTTGAATAGTCCAAAGAGTCTGATTGAAAGAGAGCAGGCTTACAGAGAAACGTTTAGTCTCTAGTGGAGGATTCTTAATAAACTCAAAGGCAGCATCAAGTTCTTCTAGCCCAATCTCTTGATCTAAAAACTTATGGGCTATAACATCTAGAAAAATGATGAGACGAGAAAACTGGGGTATCCGCCAGCGTATACATAGCTCTGTTAGCAGATCAATTGAATTTTTAGAGAGAAGCGACGTAATTTCCGGTTCCTCACCGGCTTGAGTGCAATGTAGTTGGTCATAAACTATCGCATGAGAAAGAATAGAGCGATAAAATGCTCTAGGTTCGACCGGGATGAAGGTGTACTTGGATTCCTCAAGAATTACTGGACCAGGGTGTTCATCTTCTAGTGTTAAAAAACTCATATCAAAAGGTTGGTCAAATGCATATGATGAGCTTGAATCGAGCGGATTTACTATGGTTCGAGCTATATCAGAGTAGGCCTGGTCATCTGAATTTGGAGTAGAAGTACGAATCGCGGGCAAAGATTGATTTAATCCGCAGGATTTGGCAAGGTCTGGCCTCACCTTTAGTATGTCAGTTATCATTTGAAATAATTCAGGCCCTTCTGCTTTGATCCATGCGTGATAACCTTCATCTAAGTCAAAATCTTCACTGCGTAGTGTCTTTTTCGAATTTGCATTGAGGCAATGCTGATAGGTTTTGAGATCGGCAATAGCAGCCTCTTGAGTCCAGCTGAACTTGTGTGAGTCAATATCTGACTGGACCTGCGAATTTTTGAGGCCGAATATTCTTGCTACGACTTGTACCATGGCCATATCTTTCACATCGTAGCTAGGTGGAATGTATGTGTCTGGAGCATTTCCGCTAGACGATTGTGAGGATTCAACTAGATTTAGGTCGTTCGTAAGTAGCTTGTTCTCTAGGGTCGTGAGTTTAGCCATAAGTTCAGGCTTGTACTTATCATTGCCATGATCTTTGAGAGTGATACTGATCAATCGGACAAAGAGGGCAACGTGCCTGTCAACCAGTAGCTTCCACGATTCTTCATCTGTTGTACCCCCTTTTTGTAGAGCCTTTATGGCATTTGAATAAAATATCAAGACAAGATCCTCGACTCGACGTTCTTTGTCCATTCTTTTCCGGAAACCCTGCTCAGTAAATGCAGTGTATGCTTCAGCAAATATTCGTTTAACTGTGGCGTCATTAAATTCAGAAAATTTCTCCTTGCCTGTGAGTACGCCTTGAATTCGCCGTTCTAGTGGTGACATAAATCCATGTGGAAGCTTTGTACCTGTCGAATCCCTCGCGATGGAAAAATCTTGAATTAAATCCCCCATAGAAACTATTTTTTTAGACGGCTTAGATGTTGTGATAAACTGTTGACCTTTTGGACGCTTTTGAAGGACATGATGTAGATATGCTGCTCGGAGAGCAAAAGTGTAAGCATCTTCATAGCTGATAGGTTTCGGCCTTAGACGTGATGAATTTCGAGACACGCGATCGATGCTTCGAAGGCTGTGGTTGCGTCGGTTAGGGCGTGACTGGGATGAAATTGAAGACATGGTGGGTTTGTTATTATAACGGACACTTGCCGGCTTTCAAAGCTAGTAGAGCTTAGGAATTATGGCGCAAAGGCGGGGTGTGCTAGACTGGGCCCCGCACCGCCCCTTGTTGGGGCCTTTCCGGATTTCAAAATTATGAGAGCTTCTTGGTGGTGTGTTGTTTATCTGAACATCAACTCTCGGAATCTTTGGGTGTGGGTGAATACGATTACAGATTGGCACTGATGAATTTTGAAGACATAGTTGACCCAGAAACAACAGCTGCATATGCACCTGGTACTTTCCAGTCCTTAACCGACGGGGGTTCACGTGTGATCTGATGTATTTTGGGCACGGCACCAATCTTAACTAAGGGGACTGAGACTCAACACCTGTCAGCGGTGTCCCTAAAAAAACACTACAGCTCTCACCGCAGTCTGCAGAACCAAGATTATGCCCAAAACTAGCCTAGAAAGCCACATACTTGGATTAACCTACGAAACTCCCTATTACCCAAGACAGCAAAAATCTAGGCTGTCCAATGGAGACTTCTCGTTCACCGTCAAACAATTTCATGCCCCTTGACTGGACCTTCAATTTTCTGAAGGTACTTCTCAGGAAACGAGCTAAGACGAGGCCAAAAAGTTTGAGGCAGTTCTTTCTCCATCCACGCTAATACGTAGCCCTCAGCTGACCAATTTATGCGACAGCTTTAATAGAGTAGCTGTATGTTAGTATTTTCTCTTCAACTCAATTTTAGGGGAGCCTCACCCCAGTAGATTTTACGAGCCTCTAGACTGCAACACACCTGCATCCGTTTTTTAGTTTGCTGAAGAGAGTTGATAGTCTAGGACGTAATTATCTGAAAATTTGTCTGGTTGTCTCTTATCTAACGTTCTTTGGGGCACAAAACCGAAGCTCAGACCTGCGGTGTCTACCAAAATGTCTAGAGGAATAGACTCCATTGCTTCGCTCTGGTGGCTTGGTTCCCGCTACCACCTGACTTGTGATACCGGGCTCTATATACCACAGATTAAGGTGAAGTGTGGCAAATCTCATATACACCATATGTATCATACTACATTGATTTACAATCTATGTCATTTTTAGGGTTGAGCTTCCTGGACCATAAATCTTTCTACGTCTTGCTTTTCAAAGATTTATAACACGCGCCTCCCAAACTTGGCGTATGTTGATTTGTATTTTGTATTTTACTCAGCGCGGGCGCAAAACTCAAAACCATAAATGATGGGCCGACTAGTTCAGTTGACTCAGATTAAGCGACTCTTCGGGCGCTAATAACACCCGACGATCTAACAATGAGCCCGTCATTAGCTTAGCGCCCAAAAATCTTAACTAAAGGGTGTACGAAAGCTGAAAACCTATCAAAGGTGCACAGTACAAGCCCAGGGGTGAATAATTAGTGGTCTGAAATATAATCACATAAATCGCTCGATTAAAGTGTCATCGACGAAATGGCGGTCTGGAGGTGAACGTTGGCGTAAATCTAGTCAAAAATCCAGCTTTTGAAGATAAAGATTGCACAGATCATCCATTCACATTAATCCCATTTGAAATACTATTCACTTAGAGTATTAAGACTGTATGAGGCCTGGATTGAATGTGTTTGATCCTCTTCACCGTCTTGATTCTTTCTGGAAAATCCTTCCCCGTCAAACATTAGTCGTGATCCTCCCTTTATCCATCTCACCGCTTATCAGAGCCCCCCCCCAAAGAAAAACTAACTTCTAAATTGGGTTTAAAGATACAGGAGGATGTTCAACCCTTCAAGATTGTCGAGTATTGTGAAGGTACGATAAAAGTCCCAGTTAAATACGTCCAAACATCGGTCTAGGCTATCATCAACTCGAGCTAACTCTAACTCGATAGGTGTAGTTTTAGCTGGCCTATCAAAAAAGGAGTGGACCGTTCTAGGGTCCTCATTTTCTCGGTCTTAAGATTTACTCGCATGTTATGCCTCCACGGCTAGAGATACGGCAGCGACAGGGCTGAGGCAGGAATACTGCACATCTTCTCAGATTTCAGAGATCTAGAGATGGGCATATAGATCACGGCGATGTAATGATGAAGGAATAATAATGAAGCAAATCGGAAGTGGCTTTGGTAGATGACTGGAATGGACCCATACGAAAAAAGCAACATCAGTATGAGATACGGAGTCACTGGCACTGGAAGGGGATAGGGAAATATAGGAATTTCAAGTCCAAAGGGAACGGATAATAGTGGGCGAGCTTGAGGAAAACTCTCCTTTTTCGCTCGTCAATATCCGGCCCATTGGACAACCAGACTTGAGATGATACAACAAATAGATGGGCCTGAGCTGGTCCCGTTAGAATGTATTAGTATTTTATTATGCTGCTTGACACAAAAGTTATCTAGTGTTGAAATTGAGGTAGCAATATGACTGCGGTAGAAAAATAGCACATGTTGGAATAATATGCACTGGTGCCATGAGATATAATTAACCAATATCATCACTCGTTAGCATTAATAGTAGTTTATAGTAGGGGGACTATTCTCAACACCTGTCAGCGGTGTCCCCTACGAACCTCCAGCTCTCACTGTAGAGTCTGCTGAGCCGAGATTTAGTAACAAAGTCCTCACTTCGAAGAGGATTCCCAATCACTTTCGTGGCCTGTATCGTCTTCATCTCTCAACACATTCCCCTATCACCATTATCATGAAGCTAACCACGATCAGATCAGATGGTAGGGTCGGAGCCCTACTCGTCACCCACCCTTGATCATGGAGGAAAAGCCATCCGATGAGTTTCCGGAGCGTACCCAGCACCCGATACAGAGATGGTGGATTGGATCAAGTCGACCTCGACTGTTACAAAGAAGGGAGATATAGATGAATATGCGCACCTCATGTGGTCCCGGTGTCTAGGCCTCGCCTGGCTGGGGCTGCAGGTTTTTTGAGACTTTTTCCCGCGCACGCAGTTTCCATTGCTACCTTTTTTTTTCTTTTTTTTTGGGTAGAAGGTTCCGTGGAAAAGGTGGCTGAATGCCACCTGCAAATACTGAGCTGAATGGCTATTCATCACGGGCAATATATCAATGATCTTACAAGTAACAAAAGAGGCAAGGAGCACGGTACAAGGTGTGGCCTGGGTCAGAGAGAAGACCAATTTGCTAGATAGTCATAGACTCGAGTAATACAATAAAACACGCTCGCAATACAATACCATCGCGAGAGAGTGTGGTGTGTGGGTTTTACTCGATTCAAACCAGATTTCTCCTGTTACAAATTGGGTTGGTGTTTAGGCTATCCGAATTCTACTTGGGAGAGCGGCCCGAATGACGTACCACTGCACCATCCAGCCCTTCGTTCTAAAAAGGTTGTGTATATTTCATCAAGCGATATTACTAACAATGTGACTCAACTTTTAACTAGAGCACCCATGCCTCAGAATTCATTTGCCGGTACTACTGCGAAGTTGTGAGGATAATTCCTTCACTCCATGTCAGGTACACTTTCGCAATCAAATTATAAGCGCGCAAATACTCTTCAACATGTAAATCTCCTGGCCGAATTTCAAAATCTCAACTCCGTGTAGATTATTTCCATCCGCTGCGTTTTCTTATAAATTATCCAGATTCTATCACGTCCGTAACGACTTTTGGATGCTAGGCTAGGTGTTATGATGTGAAATCATTCAGCCAATTAGACAAGCTGTATTAGATGATGTAGAGATCTATACAAGATGTGGTTCATGTAGTGACATCATAACAGTTGCATGTGGATGGTGTGAACAAGAATGTAAACTATTCTATAGCATATGATAGAATATCTTACATCACAAGATGGAATATTCTACAAGCAATTAGATACATGAGCTTTAGGTATAAAAAGGAGTATTCTCCTTCATACAGATAGCAATCATCAGGAAACGAATCTAATAAAGCGAACACATGTCATCGTCCACTTCATAATAGTGTCAAGCACATATTGATAAAGCCACTGTTTGTATGCTATTCCCCTCCCCATAATCACAATACTAGGCTCATTCATGGCAGTCACTCTCGACCAAGACTTTTCTGACATCCTTTCACGACCTTCGGCATGTCCTGCGGCATGAATCAAGGGAGGAGTTAGAAGGAGGCTAGGAAGGTTGATAGGCGGTCTTAGGTATACACAGGTCTGCTGCGCCCGGCAGGCCGGCCTCTTCATCATAGGAGAGCCCCTCACTCAGTGATTTTTGAGACATTTCCAAGCAGCTACACACCCGTAAATGGCCATCGATTCGCTGGCTGGAGAGGGGAGATAACGACGGAATAAGGGCTCCTCTTAGTGTGTACTCGAATGAAGACCTGTGGGGGTATTACTGCTCAAAAGAAGTAGTGAAGGAGGCATAGGAGGGAGTACACTAGCCGAAGAATAGATATTCCCGGCCTGTAGGTAGAAAGGACCTACATGTCTTTACATAGTCATAGACCCAATAAGACAATAAACATTCAAAAAAAGGGCTAAGGTTGCCTACCTAATTGGGCTTCCAAAATATCACGTGATATATGATAGTGGATGACTGTGCGTCTAGAATACCAATATCACAAGGCCCTTCTTGTACGTGTATAGATTAAATTAGATTTGTATTATAGCCTTAACTGAGTCAATGACTATGGAGGACTCCTAGAATCTACAAATGAGACACTAGCTACATGTTTTAAATTCCAATTGTTTAACTTTAAGCTTTGCTCTCATGGACAGTGAGGGACAAGCCCTGTTGTACGTGTATATTCAGTATGTCTAAATGCTACTACTCTAGAGGTGGTGTGTGCAATAGTTATTCCGAACCTTACACGGGGATATATGATCCGAATCTTCTGCATTCACATGACCATCTATTGTGGTTACCAGCTATGCAGAAGTTATATTTTGGAGTGATGAGGGGTGGATGATGACATATTTTATAGGTGACAGTGAATAAACTCATACAATACTATGCTGTAAGTATAAGTATAAGAGATACATAGCCCAAACCACGGCTTAACCCATGGTGGCGCCATCTAGTCAGAAAATTCGCCAGTAGAGTCCTTGCACCTTTGCCATACAGCCGCTCATGTATCCATTAGCTAGCCTGAAGCACCACTTTATTACATGTTACGACTCCTGTAAAGTACACCAGATCATGTCGAGAACCTAGAGGAAATAGAGAGCTCATACGTCGATATGCTCTGTGTCTCCATTCCAACCCTTATATTCTTTTTGCGTGTATAGAAGTAGAAGATAAAAAATTCGGAGATGGGAACCTAATCGACACGGTATTCCAATTTCTCCAAGACTTTCGAGTTCTTCGCACCAGCGTATTGCAGAAAAACTACTTTACATACGGAGTATGTAATTTGGTTCACGTTGCACATTAGTGGTAGTCCTACTATTTCTTCCATGGGATTCTTCTTTAAGCTGAAGTAATAGGTCTGCAGTAGATCGCACCATTTTAACTCTAGTGAACTCTTGTCTTCTATTCTTACATAGAAGCAGACGTCGACTTTGATATTTCCGACCCCAAGACTAGTGGCGGCAACAATATGACGCGATTCCTTGTAAATTCCAATAAAAAATGATCCCCCACACGATTGATTAGAAGATAGAGATGTTGATAAGACTGTGGCTTTTACGCCGTAAAAAATACAAAGACTTGATTAAATAAACTTTAGTGGATGTTGAAAGTTAGGTCAGTTTCGGCAACGCCTCAATCAGGACCTAGGTGAGATGATGTGCGTACATGTGGTACGTGTATGTCAGGATTTAGTCTCTACCTGTCTCTATGTACTCCCTCCCTATAGCCATTCTGCTTCTTGCATCCCTACATTAGAGCTGCCTTCTTATTCTAGTGATTATGACAAATACATTTTAGGAATAGAAGGGAAAATATGTTGATTTATTTCCACTTCACATGCTACTTTATCATATTTCTATAATTAAATTTAGCTTTCAGTTCTGTAGCTGATATAATTGTTGGGCTTAAATATTTTTGTTCCGTTGGATATTAGCTATTAAGATTGACTTGAAAAGCGTGAAAACGTGAATTAGAGTATTCCAAGTTTCAAGGTTCGCATCGAATATGTGAATAGGAATTTTCATTGATTTTAGCCACCTATCTATAAATAAGTTTCATGTTATTTTAATATTTCAGGTTCTAAGTTGTCTAACTCAACGTTTATGTATCGTGAATATCCGATGTAGGATCCATTCTATTCGTTTTTCTTTTCTTGCAAATCCTCACTCTGATCCTCTTGAAAAGCTACGACAACATATCCTATTAACACAATATTTGCTGTGATCGCTGCAGTTGCGCCTGCATAGGTAGAGTTGCCATCAAAAATCCTATTTAGGGAGAAGAAATATATTGATATTGGCCCTGCCATCATAGCAAATGTAAAAGCTAGTAACTTGTAAATAACATGAGCAGGAACCGCAGGGGCGACAGAGCTGTTCGTAGGATTTGTGGTGGTGACATCAGGTTTTGACGCAGACAAGACGACTGGTTTCTTTCCTCTCGCAGACATTTTCTTAGGTGATCCACTAGATGAGATTTTTGAAACAATTGCGCGGATTGATGTTTTAGGTGAAAAATGAACTTTGCCTGACTTCAGCATTTGCATTAGTAAGACCTTGAGCTAACAACATCACGTGCATGTGTACCAACAACATTCAAATTGAATTCATGATCTGGAATGCTTTCGCAGCACTCCAAGTTTAGTGATCTCACAGACACATCTAAAGTCGACGACTCATCGTCAATGTCGGACCTTTCATTCTCACACAAGTCCTCCACCTCAATCTTACTACACCACCTCGCCTCAAATACCAGTAATTGCGTTATTCCGGTTGCAATCGGGCATTTGCCTCATCAAAAGCCGGCCATCTCCCACTACACATTTACGATGCTATGTATACCCGCGAGGAGGAAATTAAGTCATAATCTACAAAGCTCGGGTCTTGGTCTATGGGGGACCGTTTTTCTAATGGGGCTTCACATCTTGAGGGAGGACAGGCAGCTGGGACGTGGGACAAACGAGTGAAGAGGTCACAAATAGGCATGCTGGGACGCACATTTTTCGAGTGTCTTGGACTTAAGATTGTCTGTGGGTGCAGAAGCAACGATTTAGGATAGTGCTACATACACTCTAAAAACAGGAAACGATGGAAGGTGTTTTGGTCCGCCTCCTGGTCGTCATCTCCCCGAGTTAAAGTCTGGATAGCCTGAACACCTACCTCACTCGAGAAATTGAGGACTGTGAGGCCATCTCTCGCGCTGCGGGTATATACAAGATGACAAAAGCATGTTAGGGTAGCCAAAGGTTCTTCCTGTTTTCCCTTTGGTGGATATTAACGGTTGAGGGAAGGGTGAAAGTCCCTAGCACCAAGGTCTCGAGTGATATCAGCGAATGCACCCACTACATGAGTATTCCAAATGTGAAACTGAATTATCGTCGTAAATAATTGTCGGGGAAGGACTCGCCCTCTCTGTGTCATGCTCTTTGAGTGTAGGGCTTGTGCCCGTCACGAATAAACCTTCATTCATTCATAGTTTAATGGTGTAATCAGTTCATCTTCCCATCACCCGATACGGAGGTGGTGAATTGGGCCAAGTCTATAACTAATAACACATGCACAATTTTTTTTTTATTGTCTACCCAGCGAAAGCGAACGCTATTGCTCTATTCCAGGGGGAAGATTATGAGGTTTCTTGTGCACGTTAGTAAGAATAAGACAATAAATATTGACTATAAAATTCACTGATGTCTCGTGGCTCCGACTACGACAATCTATATGTGTGTAGAGATTGAGACTAGGTGTAAACTTCTATTTCTATTAACGTTCTAACTCCTCCTTTAATACTTGAAATTCTCTATACTCCAGATAATGTAACGGTCAGTAATACATGGCAAAGCAAACTATCAGAATTTTTTTTTTTGCATCAGATTTTAATTGCATATGCAGCTATCTAGCTATGACACAATATCAATGAAAAGAACAGAAAAGATGAATCAATTTACAAGAGGAGCACTCATGCCTCGGATTTCATTTGCAAGTACCACTGCGAAGTTATGGTGGCTTTTTCTTCACCCCAAGTCAACCTTCATCCGTGAATACCCACCCAGGAGAACGTCTCAAAAACCCTGAGTTATCCAGACATGCCTCTGTCATCCATCAAGTTTTCTCCGCGCGAAATGTGGTCTGAGGAATCTCCTTCCCAAGTGGAGTAGGTGCCCAGGCTACCCAAACTATACCGGATGTAACGGCTAGTGAGCCGGTAATTGCACTGGATCACGTGATTTTAATCCCTTGCCTCAACAATTCTGTGAAAGGCGAAACTTCTCTCTAGTTTATTCTGAACATGACTAGAGGATTCTAGCAACTGGCATTGAGACTGTGAACTGGTATCAGGGGAACATAACAGAGGCTAGTATCAGACAGAAAGGAATATTCTAGATAGCCTAATAAGTGTATAAATAGTTGAGTTAGGACACACATTTTGTTATAGAAAATAATAAACAACCTTCGTATATTTGATCGCCCCAGCATCTATACTTCGAATTGTGATAACGGAGAACACCACCAGGTGGTGGAACACAACACCTTCCATCGTTTGCTTGTGTTTATAGTGGTAGCTGCACTCTCGCAAGCGAAGTCTTGGCGCGCAAAAAGCTGAATTCGTAAAACTCCTTGCCAAATTTTGAATCTCACGCCCTTCAAGGTTATATCCTTCCTTTGCATCATCTTGTGAACTTGTCCTGAATCCTCTCACGTCCATCCCAAAAGAACTGTCTCCCAGGTTTGGGCGCCACGCTTTGTTTCCTCCGTCGGGTGTGAATATCGGCGTGGGCGTGTATTTGGTGGTCAACTGAGACCAGAGAAGGTCTACGAGAGGTGTGATCATTGAAATAAGGATTTACTAGGTCGTAATTGTAGACTTGATGAGGCTTGGATAGGATTCGAACTCTTTGGGTGTGAAAAATTGACGTGGCGGAGTATTTTGAATCATTGCCTCGTGGGCCAACTTCTTTGATATTGCGAAATTTGACATAATTTGGCTCTAGGAGAATATTTCACTCCCAGGTTCGTAGAGGACACCGCGTACAGGTGTTCAGTCTTGCCCTCCTATGTTGGAGTTTACATTTGTGTGTGGAAATCTCGCTTTCAATGATGGGATAAAAGCTCCTCTTAGTGTGTCCTCGAATAAAGACATGTGGGGGTGAGTTGAGCATCTGTGTTTATTGTACTACTTGAGTCTATGACTATCTAGCAAATTGGGCTCTTCTCTGGCCCAGGCCACACCTTGTACCGTGCTCCTTGCCTCTTTTGTTACTTGTAAGATCATTGATATATTGCCCGTGATGAATAGCCATTCAGCTCAGTATTTGCAGGTGGCATTCAGCCACCTTTTCCACGGAACCTTCTACCCAAAAAAAAAGAAAAAAAAAGGTAGCAATGGAAACTGCGTGCGCGGGAAAAAGTCTCAAAAAACCTGCAGCCCCAGCCAGGCGAGGCCTAGACACCGGGACCACATGAGGTGCGCATATTCATCTACCTCTCCCTTCTTTGTAACAGTCGAGGTCGACTTGATCCAATCCGCCATCTCCATATCGGGTGCTGGGTACGCTCCGGAAACTCATCGGATGGCTTTTCCTCCATGATCAAGGTTTGGTGATGAGTAGGGCTCCGACCCTACCATCTGATCTGATCGTGGTTAGCTTCATGATAATGGTGATAGGGGAATGTGTTGAGAGATGAAGACGATACAGGCCACGAAAGTGATTGGGAATCCTCTTCGAAGTGAGGACTTTGTTACTAAATCTCGGCTCAGCAGACTCTACAGTGAGAGCTGGAGGTTCGTAGGGGACACCGCTTACAGGTGTTGAGAATAGTCCCCTTGGTGATATTGTATTCATGGGATGATGTAAGCACACACGGACAACCATAGGTTTTTCACGCTTCTCCCTGTGGTGGGTATGCACGGAAGAGGTTATACGCCGCAAGGGTTAACCTCGAGTGGTATCTGCAAATGAAATTGGAGTGTGAGTGTTCTAAACGTCAAATTGAGTCATCCTACTTAAAGTCCGTATCTTCCGATAAAAACCCGCATGGGCTTCAAGGCGCCAAATCAGGACAATTAGATTATTTATTTGATCTTGGAACGAATGAAGACGGCACCTGAACGAGTGTTGAGTTCAGATATAAGCTAAAAGAGTGCGACATGTGCCTTGTACGTACAAATGTAAGCGACACAGAGCCTAAGCCACAGCATAAACGAGTGTGGCGCCATCTAGGCATAGAAAACTCCCAATGACCACCTTGTCCTCACGGCATACAGCTGCTCATGTGTCCACTAGGTAGCCTGATGCACAACATTGTGACTCATTTCATCCTCTCAACTACACACAAGATCAAGCTGCCTCTGCCGCTCCAGCTCCACACTTAGAACTCTCCATTGCGAGGACAAGGAGAGAAGTCAAAGCCCAATACGAGGCTTCAGTCGCACTATATTGGGCAGAAAATGCATCTTCTTGATACAAAGAATTAGGTGTTGGCCCTAATACTAAGATCACCATTGAGCTCGCCCGTCTGGGGCGACGCGCATTAGGATATCTTCTAGCTGCACGGTCCGGTCACGGCGACTTCGCGAACTACCACCGACGCTTTCAGCATGTAAATGCCATCCTTACCTGCTCATGCGGAGAAGAGAAGTCCCCCGACCACTTTTTCTATTGCCACCTCTGGCAGTACCAGGCAGAGCACTCCAGGGCTCAGATCTTCAATCCCACCATATCTTCGGCTCATGCTTCGGCGGAGGGGGTTAATGCACTCAATAACTGGGTGCGTGTCACAGATTTCTTCGAAAGGGCACAAGGAAAAATCTGATTCGAAAGAAATCACGATCTGATGTATACAATCTTCACCTTTTATTTCTTTATTTTATAAAATCTTTTCTTGATTCAGTGGCAACTGCATAGTATGAGTTTCGGTGGACGGACGACCTCCATGTGTAATATAATCTTCGAGCGCAGGATGATAAGATGCTGGCTATCATTTGCTTTGTTGGGTCTTTGTAGGCGCCAACACATCGGGTAGTTTATTTAATTATATATAATATTTGAATTAGATTTCATTATCCTGATTTGGCGCCCTATGGGCCCATGCAGGAGGGCAAGACTGAACACCTGTACGCGGTGTCCTCTGCGCACCTCAGGGACTGTTACCAATATGCCCTCCGTATTCTGAGACTTCAAAAATGCCATCCAATATACCAGCAATTATTTCAACCTCTGACAGATGAGCTTTCGAACACAAGTGAAATTGACCTTGGACTAGTAGGGCTTCTTAATGAATCACCAATTCAGATCAATAGCATAGGAAAGTTACTGCAACATCTTGCCAGTAAAGCCAAATTGGAAGAAGTTAATGACAAATGGACCCCTCCCTGGCTTCAATCTAATTTGAACATATTTATTTCTAATTTAAGTAAGGCAGAAGCACAAATTGAGCATCTGAAATTTCTCAC